AATTCCATGTGGATGAAGAGCCTTGTGGACTTATTGACATTATCCTAAATTGAGAAAATTTTGGAGCAATACAATGGGATCGAATTATAGTCTCTGGCCTCCGCAGAGACACAAGTCTCCTCCCCGCCATATTGTTGCAGGGTTTCATTACTGATATACCAAATTACTGTGATGTGGGTTAGAATTATCGTCGAGTATTTTCGAAACAACATAAAAGTATTGATGGTTACCTTGGGCGTGAAGACATTGAGGTAGAGGCAGTCTTCATCTCCCGCCATGCTGCCAACCTCAGGCATCCCTGGGGTCATGATGACCATCATGTTGAGCTGTGGGCATATGGTGGGCATAGTGGTGCCCTCCAGCACGCCCTCCCATCTCTCCCCGGGCACCGGGTCCTACACAAGGGGGCAAGCATACTGTATACACACATGGTAACTTGTCACGACTAACATATTTCATACATTTCTACGACTAACGTGTATTTGTTATTTAATGATAAGTTTACACAATGTCTGTAGAGGTTTACCTTAAACCGGAGGCTTCCAACTGGAGGCTTGGCGAAGGGGATGCCCATGTAAGAGTGGAAGAGCTTGCCCTTCGTCGACTCCTCCAGCAGGCCTGACACGAGGCCCTCCTGCGTCTCCACCACCACCTCCGACGCCACCACCTCCGGGGCCTCCTCCGCCGCCACTGAGGCCGCCACCACCGCCATCACCGCCGCCACCGCCGCCAGTCTCATCATCGCTCTGCTATGTAAACATTCAGGATTCATTTATTATTAAGAAATGAACAAATAACAATTATTAATGTAATTAAACAAATAATAAGAAGAAGAAATGAGTAATATTAAAATACAAATCATATTTGCCAAATTTCTAGTAAAACCAAATGTTTCTAAATTATGACAATTGTTGCGAGTGCTGACATGATTTGACTGTTTCAAGTCCAAGTTTATATACTCCGTGTAAGTGCTTATCATCCACTTGTAAACATCACCTTTGTGTCTCAGAGACAGTGGAAGTCCTCCCAGCTTGTAAGAAAGATTCCTGACACTAACACTGCACAGTGCCAATAAATATCAATAAATTAAATGTTATACAGTTTATTGCTAAAAATGAAAACTTCATTTGCACTGTTATAATTTTTTTTCAGTCGAGCTAGAATAGTAGCGATTTGTATAAGTTTTTGCAAATCAAATTTCTGCTTCTGATTCTGTCTAAAGGGTAACCCTTGATGTTCGATGGTACAACCACTTGGGCTGGACAATAGAGTGACAGTCTCGCTTCATGCAGGTCGGCGTTCAATCCCCGACCGTACAAGTGGTTGAGCACCATTCCTTTCCCGCCATCCCATCCCAAATCCTTATCCTGACCCCTTCCCAGTGCTATATAGTCGTAATGGCTTGGCACTTTTCCCTGAACGTTCCCTTCCTTTGTCGTTCTGTGTTGAATGTTCACTAAGAATTGTTGTCTAATTTGTAATATTACCAAAATTAATCAGCATAATAAACGAAGTTAATCGAAGTGAGGTCTAATTAGAGCAAGATATAATTGCAAAATAATTTATATTTTTGTATTTTAAAACTTCTAGATGTAAAACCAAATATCTTTACCTTATTTAGTTCATTAGGTCATTCTGTGTCTGTCAAATATTTCATAAAAATTACGTTTAAGTTCGATTTTCGTTATCTGATTCCATTAGTCGTCATACAGTTGTACTGCCTTTAAAGGCAGGATGGAATATACATTACTTTGCGCCGAGCTACATTAACCAACTTCCTGTAAACTTATCCGAATCTCTCTAAAATACACGAGTCATATTTTCCAATACACTGTTCACACTATTATTGTGTCATCTACAATTTCTCTGATGTGACTGTTGACCCCCAACATCAAAATCATTAATATAGCTTATAAACAGAAATGGCTCCAACACCTTACCCCGAGGCACGCCGTCTGTGACATTCTACCGCTCTCATTTAGTCCAATTGATACTAACTGCTTGTTTCCTCTCAACCACGCTCTATCCTCAAAAATAGAACTCTTTGAGTGCGAAGGTTTTAAATTTGTCTGATGGACCTCTGATTCGCAGGTCAGAAAGGCTTTCTAAGGTTAAGATAAACATCCTAATTGCTATTATTATTACTTATTATATCAAATACGAAAACGATCCAATCAAAACGTGACAATGTGACACGCAACGATCCTTATTCAAGTCGCGTTGAAGCTCTTATTAAACTATACTTGACGAGGTGATTTTCTGGTAGTGCTTACTGGCCGGATGTTACAGAGATAGTTAAGACAAGCAACAGCCACATGATTAGGTGGGCCTGATGAGAATGCTTATTGGGCTCAGGTTCCTGAGCCCAATAGGCTCAGGAACTTATATACCAGCTCATTGACCGTTGAGAGGGGGGACCAAGGAGCCGAAGCTCAACCCCCGCAACCACAATCAGGAGAGTACATTTAAGGGAGTTCAAACACACACCCTCACCCATCACCACCACCGGCTTCGATCACTAACAAGCACCTCCTAATCATATCTCAGGGTTATATATTAAGCAATTGATCTTGGGCCTCTGATAACATTCTCCCCTAGATGGCATGACAGGTTCTCGCTCTCTCACTGCTTTCTCTCTGACTCTCACACTGTTTTCTCTCTGACTTTCGGACTGCTTTCTTCTCTCTCACATTGCTTTCAGGAGGAAAGTATATTTGCCACAACTAGTAAGCTGTTGTAGTGGCCTTAACAACCCTCCCGTGGTTGTAATAGTCCTTAACCCCCAGCATCTTACCTCTGAGTAGGAGGAGCAGCGTGCCGGCCGGTGCGTCCACTCCTAGAGTGCTGGCCAGAGTGACCAGAACTCTCCTAGTGACACACTCACCCACTCATTCACGCATACAACCCTGGCTTTATCTTCGCGATTACACCAGCTACATTGAATACAGATATGTGTAGCATCTGTGCCTTATATGTGTGTTTGGCTCTAGTACGGCACCATTGGTGTGTTGTTCCTTCGTTCAGAGATGAACCTTTATTGTCCTTAATTCTGCACCTTAAGGATAATATTGTCTACGGCTCAACATCGGGAACTTTAGAGGCAGTCAACCAGAGGCGGGACAGTACAACTCTTCTGCTTGCTGCCCGATATTATCATCTTATAGTTTTCGTTCTATTTCTAAATACTTCGCTATACAGTTTTATGCTTTAAAGCGGTAAAGTCCCGGACCTCATTATGCGCCTCTGTTAACCCTTTCCACTACCGCCCACAAGATGGGTATGGGGTGCATAATAAATGAACTAAACTGTTATATGCAGTGTTTACTGGGTTTTTTCCGCATTTAATTACTCTCAAGATCATCACATTCAGATTTTATCGACACTTCATTTTCTCTTAGCATGGTCATGATACATGACTGATGAAGGATGGGTAGATGGTCCCCACTGGTGGTCCGGGGCCCCAAGGTCGTCACGCCGGTGTTCGTCATGGTCAGGGTCGGCCCTAGAGGCACTAGGGGGTCCCTACGCGTATATTTAGCTCATTTGTATTATTTACACTTTGCACATAATAAACAATGGGTCATGTAACGTTGTGGGTGGGTCAATACAGTCTAGCCAAGCCACCCACCATACACCCACTAAACCCCATGTTTGGGGTTTGGTGGGTGAATATAATCACTTTTGGGTCTTTGTTTGGAGGACGGGCTGGTTTACGAATGAAAAACGGTTTACACACGACTCACAACTGATGACGTCCGAACATTTCCGGAACAAGTGCTTCACTGACGAATTTTGTTCGAATCACAACGCTATAAATGCTTCACCCACGTACTACAAATACAAATAATCGCCAACAGAACCTAAACACCTGACCTAACCTAATATATGCCTATATATACACAATATGCCAATATATTATAATATTAATTTATACTTGAGAAAATTCCCGTTTTGAATGAACAGCATGTAAAAATTTATGAATGCGTCTGTGGGGTTGAACGCTGAATGTAATGGACTTGAGTCGAGGACGGGTTGTGTAAATGCTTCATCCACGTACTACATATACAAATAATCGCCAACAGAACCTAAACACCTAACCAGTGCCTAAATACATTATATATCTGCACAATATGCGGATATATAATGATATTAATTTGTATTTAAGAAAATTCCTGTTTTGAATGAACAGCATGTTAAAATTTATGAATGTGTCTTTGGGGTCGACCGCTTGATGGAATGAACTTGGTCATAGGACGGGTTGTCCTAAACATTCAGACTTACCCATAAATATTAAGGCATGCCTATGACGTAAAGAGTGATCATTACCAGTCTTGAGTGTGTAAGGAATAATGTATCATGTTATAACCTATCCTAACTTCACCTATCCTAACCTCACTTATCCTAACCTGACTTAACAAGTTCATAAGTCAAGCCCCCGCTTTCAACAGACACAAGAATTGTGACAATCTAATAGTTAATGGTTATCAATACTGTATATGGTTGTGGACATGCGTGCCCTAATTAGAACAAATATTTTGTATTCCTATTCATAATAGCGGCTCTGTTTTGTTTCGGAAAACTCCATTATTTGTAAATATATATGTTAAGATATAATTAATACATTAATTACTGTGTCGAGAATTGGTATCCTGCTTCTTGTAATTGCTAGTTTAATATTGTGGTCCAACTTGACTGAAATTGTCATTAATATATGTTTTCCAAACTCTAATTTGTGTTATTAGTCAAAGACGTCATACTAAAGTGGTGATTTGAACCCAGGACTATAGCAGGGTTTAAGTCCAGTGTGGCAGCGACGGCCGCATCGTACCCATGGTGGGGGAGGTCCCAGCCTGCACAGCATTAGTTGTCCTGAGCGAGCATAGATGGCTGTAATTCTAAATTTAGCCAGGAAGGCAAATTTTAGAACCTACAAGGAGTCCGTATACGCAGACAGCCTTCAAACGCCTACAAAAAGATAGGAAGGAAATACAAAAAATTAAAACGGTAAACTTTTATATTTCAGCTCCACAAGCATGTTTTATTTGCAAACAGCATTGGGGGACCTGTTGGCCAGAACTCGCCACGTGAGGCATGTCTCTCACGCTCTTCAACTGACTGTAGAGCGAGTATAGTTATTGACGACCACAGTCTCTCTTCTCCAGACTTGTGACTTGTTGTTAGAGGAGTGGCAGAGTCACAACCTCCAGGAAGAATGGCAGCTACAACTCGTCTTGGGAGATGCGTGATGAACCACCTTCCCGGGCGGCGTCCTCGACGGCGTCGTCTGCTTCAGGTGTGTCCTGCTTCACCAGGTGGGGGTGGAGCGCCAGGTTCACCTTAGTCGGCAACGATGCATGGAACATACGCATCTGTGGCGCCAAATTACAGCAGTTAGGGAAACAGAAGAGTCATGTGAGGGAGAATTCGATAGAAAAAATTAGGTAGCAAGGTATTCTGGTGCGTGTTTCGTCCAAATAATTTTCTGTTTAAACTTCGCTAACCTTACCTACAAACATATTGAAGACATTGCAGAATATATGGAGGTCCAATTTTATTTTAGTTTAGTTCTATGATAGTCTGAATGCGTGTCATTAGGTTGGAAGATCCTATTGAAGGATTTTCCGGTGCCTTATATCTGTATCTGACAGGCTCCGGAATTCTTGCACGATCGAGGACTAATCACCACCTCAAAATCCATTTATAAATGTTGAAAACAAGCCAAATAATTACGAGGCTCTACAAGAAGAAATGTAGTAAAAATCATAGTTTATTCTTCAGCTTCATCAACAAAGAGGGATTGTTGCTGCTGGTAATGGTGATAGATCTCTGAATAAACTGGGTGTTCGCTGCCACAATTTGAAACACAAGTCAGGACGTATACAGTGACGGCAGACACAGGACCCCCGCCAGCAGGCTCGGCCCGAGGCTCCGGAGATCTTCCTGAAGAAGATCCTCCCGTTTTACTCCTTTTGTCCAACCATAAAAGCTTCCCCCCCCCCCCCTCCTCCTTAAGGGAACCTCTGGACAGACTACATGAAGGGAAACACTATTACCATCTCTCCGCAAGTTAGACACGTAGTGATTATTGATATATGACGTACATAGTAAGTATTCATATAGGTTATATATGATAATTATCGACTTATATGATACATGAACGAATAAGAGTAAAGAAATATCAATAAGTACAGGATTAGTTTAGACTTTAAATGGCAAGAAGAACGCACGTGATGACGTTGGTCGGCCTCCATTGAGGGCGAGGGCGTGAGGTTGAGGTACTGGAGGTTGTCCTCGGTGGAGGGCTCCCAGGTGAACCCAAGAGAGTCGTCAGGAGTCGGGTTCCTGCAAGAGAGAACCAACCAAAGATTGATACGACTTTCTGGTCATTCAGTAACCACTATTTCAGTAATGTTCTACTGAATGTTTTAGTAATGAAGGAACTAATGTTCTAATGTTTTAGATGAAGGAAATGGGAGATGGTAGCGGAGAATGATGTCTAAATGTATTTTGTGAGTGGTAATAGTATTTTAAGGTCATTAAGTCTATGTAAATAGCTGAATCAAGATGACTTAACTAGTAACTGATAACATCTATATAAAGAAATTGTTTACGCCTCGTTATTAAACCAGAAAGTTTATCAACAATATTATAGCTTGAATCTAGGTTGAGCAATGTTGCATAACTCTGTTGATATGTGAAAATAAATTCAAGGTAAGGCACAGGTAACTCTTTGTATTGAATCAGCATTCCTTCCTCATTAACCTGAGTCAAAGAAGTTGGTCAAAGAATGGTTACCCATCCTACCACCTCCTGCTGCTCCTTACCCTGTGGCAGCGAAGTTCAGCCAGAGGGAAAGGATGATTTCCCGAAGCTGAAGGTCATCCTTACGCCGTAGGTCTGTTTGCCCATTGAAAGCCTGGCTGACCATCTCCAGCATGGTTCCGAGCCGGAACAGGTAGAATATATCGTCGCCGTGAGACACCCCTGTAGAACACACCCGTCAGTAGGTTCATAGAACTTAGTTATTGGCAATTGGCATGTTTGGAAATATATCGAGTGTCAGCTGAGGTAAGTTGGCAAAACTGGGCAAATACCCTTGATATAACAACATTAAAATGTTTCTGGAGTATATTCCCCTCCCCACAGGAGTATACCTAGGCCATGGTGTGGCCCCCGGGCCATGGTGTGGCCTTCCTCGTCGTCTTTGGTCACTCTTGAGAAACTCGTGTCATGTGTATGTTAAGATGTGTCTTAGTAGCCTCTCGCTGTTTGTGTGAAGCCTGTGTCCTTGTCCCTCAACTGTCACTAACTCTTCACGTGTCACTAATGCTCTACACATTCCCTGGTAACTTGCAGCCAGCGATGTGACAAGGACATTACCACTACCATTAAGTATCTAGTACCTACTGCTATAAAAACAAATTCGCAACGTTTTGGCAACTACTACTAACGTTTGGGTAAATTTTCTTTCACCTGATACATCTGTGCACCTTATTGTAAATAGGTACCCAGAAGATAGGCAATTGTTGCGGCTAGAATCTTAGAGAAGGTCAAGTCGTTTCGCTAGGAACTCCTCGCTAATCCTAGCACCTGACTTCCTGTCCCCCCTAAGGAACAGCAACGACCTCCTGCTGACAGCTCAGCCCGTCCTCTCAAGCGTTCACAACGTCACTAAACTGATGCACTAAATTGCCCAAACCTAACCCAATAGAAGACATGGATAGAAAACGGAACATCACTTCAATTTTGCGAGCCGCCATGATTGTTAGTACATCAGTTTTTGGCCGTAGAGGGGAAATTTATAGATAAAAATGCGAGGTACTATTCACGAGGACGGGATGCTGGGCCTCAACTCACAGCGACTGTCAGGACTGGCGCCGAATAAGGCGGAGACGGAGAGTTCAGCGTTGTGGGTGAGCTCGTATCTGAAGGTGCGGGAGTCCGGCCCCTGGTGCTTGGCGTGATGCTGCGACGCCCAGTCGTGGCACATCGTGAAGTGCCGGTCTGACATCATCTGCAGATAACGAGGCGGTATTAACAGTAATCAAGAAGGCAGCTGCAGGCTGCTTATAGCGGCAAACCGTACATATAGACACACGCAACTCAATGTTATTATGGCGACGGGCTCACCTCAATGAGATCTCCTTTGCGGCCAGAGGTCACCTTCACCTCCCCGACGTAGTAACGATACAATTTGAGGGCCAAGCCCACGGGATCGTCTGTGTCGTCGATGGACTGGACGCTGGCCGGGCCAGCCACTTCGAAGTCGTTCTCCAGCGCCAGGCGGAGGTGCTCCATGACATACATGGCTGTAGGGGGAGGATACCCACTCATAGGAACCAATCATATGGGAAATAACACAAACCACATATATGAAAAGAAATGAAATTGACGTTTTGGTCCGTCATGATTTGATAAGGGTTCGGAGATGACTGATAAGTTGTCACGTAAGGGGCAAGGATGGACCGAAACGTTGTCAGTTCACATTCTATCCACACAAATACGTTGGATTATTTGTTTTGGCCCAGTAATTATAACTTATTCTTTGGACTTAATTATAAATAATATATAATAATAGACTGGTGTTTGATGAATTAAAATTATGAATAAAACCAGAGCAAATAATACACAGTTCATATACTGATTGTCTCTTTCCGAATGTCAAGTTGATTTTTACTATTTAACAGGATTTATGATGTTTAATATGAAACCAAAGCAAAAGAAATAAAAATCACTGAACTTAATAATAATAAATAGCGTAAAACAGCTTAGATTACAGTGCTAGTAAATGGAAAAAATATATAGTGAACATCAAGAAAATAATTTTCACATTAAATAATTGAAGTCTGGGTCAGGAAACTAATTAATAAGTATTTAATATACAATAAATGTGCTGAATCACAATCTTCAGACTCGGGTTCAATCCTCGCCTAGGACAAAAACAATTTATTCAGCATTTCCTTTCACTTGTTGCCTCTGTTCACCTAGCAGTAAATAGGTACCTGGGAGCTAGACAGCGGTTACGGGCTGCACCCTGAGGATGTGGATGAGTGGGAAAGAGAAATATATATTAGTTATTACAGAGAAAACAAGTAGAGAGTTTGTATATACTAGACGACCGAGCGGAGAAAACACAGGATCCAAGAGCTATAACTCAAGACACAAATATGGGAGTACACAAATAACAAGGAGAAACTAACGTAGAGTAAACACAACTCCCTCGTGGGCAGCGATGCCACTCACGAGGGGAACCTTATGGAAGCGTCCCTCCTTCAGGAGGACCGCGGGCTCCGCCGGCAGGTAGTCCCCGTCCACGCGAGGCCCCAGTCTGAAGGGCAGCATGAACCAGTCCTGTCGTACAAACACATTACATCAATAAATTTTCAATATAAAATAAATGCAGTGAAAACTTAGTGTAGGTATTCATGCAACCATTAACTAACCTTAAATGTGTGGGTACTCACCTAGTTGTGCTTGCAGGGGTTGAGCTCTGGCTCATTGGTCCCGCCTCTCAACTGTCAATCAATTGGAGTACAGATTCTGGAGCCTATTGGGCTCTATCAAATATATATATTTTAAATTGTGTATGGAGACTACCTCCACCTAGGACAAAAACAATTTATTCAGCATTTCCTTTCACTTGTTGCCTCTGTTCACCTAGGGGTGAACTTTTTAGGAGGACTGGTCGACGACCGGGCCGCGGGGACGCTAAGCCCCGGAAGCACCTCAAGGTAACCACGTCACTGCCTAATACATTCCATTTGTTAACTATTATGGCAGTGAAAAAAATATTTCTAATGTATCTTTGTGTGTGTGTGTGTGTGAGTGTTCTTGAACACAACATCAGAGCAACTGAGGAATATTAAGTAAAGATGATGTCTTCAAATGCTAATATTTCTCTCATAATCGCTGATGTTCTGCAACAATGAGCGAAGATGATAGGAGCCTTACCAACGTGTCTTTAGAGAGAGCAGTTAACGCGAAGGCGTCAACACCTTGCAGACACTTGAGGAGGTCCTGGCTGTCCTGGTGGATGGAGCAGCCGGTGGCCTGGGCGACCTTGCGGGTGACGTCGGCGTGAGACCGACTGAGCGCCCAGGGACACACCGCCGCCCCGGACTGCATGATGGCCCGGGCGAAGAGTCCTGTGGGAGGGGTTTCAGGTCATTACCTTTTCCAGCTGTAGCATGAGGGAATACACTGTTGACTGGATGATATGACACTGATTTTTATTATGAAATTTAGTCCTCGGGCAGTGTTACAACTGATTGAATTCTTGAACACCTAACTTTTCCCCGGAATGTGACCAACGAAAATAAATTTCCTTCCCTACCTTCCTTCTCTCTCTCTCTCCTTCCTCACCTTCGGACTTGGGTGTGAGGAGCTGGTAGTGGACGGAGGCGCCGCCGGCACTCACTCCGAAGATGGTGACCTTGGTCTTGTCTCCGCCGAAGTTGTGGATGTTCCTCTGGACCCACTGGAGCGCCAGCGTCTGGTCCTTCAACCCGAAGTTGCCGGGGATCACCGAGTCCTCCGTCGACAGGAACCCTGGGACGGAACATGATACAGGAGTGTCGCTGTGGACTCAAGTGAGGCGAGTGTGGCGCTGAACGTTTGAAAATAATATAACGTGATAGAGTATTATACTTTGGGAAGCATATTACTGAGTCCCATACAGACGTGTAAAGTGCATAGCTGAGTCCTTCTTAATGTAGAGTAAGTGGTTGAGTATTACGCAATGGGGGGAAAACTAGCAGTCGAGTATTATACAGTGGGGGAAGAGCAGGTTCGAGTCCTCACCTAGCATGCCGAGCCTGTACTGGATGATCACCAGCACCACCTGGCGGTTGAGCAGGACGTGCGGCAGCTGGTCCTGAGCGCCTCCACCAAAGAAGCCTCCGCCGTGGATAAACACCATCACAGGCAGGCCGGCCTCGGGCTCCCCAGGCTGTAACATCATCATCATGATCGTAATGCCAAGCCCAAATGGTGGTTATTCATGGTGTGTGTTGCAACACCATCAAGTGATCAGTCGTGCTGACTTAGCGCTTTCTTACAATTACCTTACCTAGTTCATCGCCAAGGCAATGATTATCATAATCAATGCTAAGAGCTGGTTGTACACCTCCGTCTGGTCCTCCAGAGGGTTACACACACCTTGGGTTGCTTCCAGCTGGTGGAGCACCCATTGGGAGGCTTCCAGATGATAATATCCGAGCTCGTTATTCAATTCTAGAACTTGCAATGTAGTTACATTTGTTCACTAGAACTATTAACTGATTGAATTCCATCTGGATTAACAGCCTTGTGGACCTAATGATATCCTAAATTAAGAATATTTTGGAGCAATACAATGGGATCGAACTAACGTCTCTTGCCTCCGCAGACATACAAGTCTCCTCCTCACTATATTGTTGCATGGTTTTATCACTGATATTCCAAACTATTTTGATGTGGGTTAGAATTATCTTCGAGTATTTTTGAACCTACATAAAAGTATTGATGGTTACCTTGGGCGTGAAGACATTGAGGTAAAGGCAGTCTTCATCTCCCACAATGCCGCCAGACTCTGGCATCTCTGAGGTCATCACGGCCATCATATCGAGCTGTGGGCATATGGTGGGCATAGTGGTGCCCTCCAGCACGCCCTCCCACCTCTCCCCGGGCACCGGGTCCTACACAAAGGGGCAAGCATACTGTATACACACATGGTAACTTGTAACGACTAACATATTTCATACATTTCTACGACTAAAGTGTATTTGTTATTTAATAAGTTTACACAATGACTGTAATGGGTTTACCTTGAACCGGAGGCTTCCAACTGGGGGCTTGGCGAAGGGGATGCCCAAGTAAGAGTGGAAGAGCTTGCCCTTCGTCGACTCCTCCAGCAGGCCTGACACGAGGCCCTCCTGCGTCTCCACCACCACCTCCGACGCCACCACCTCCGGGGCCTCCTCCGCCGCCACTGAGGCCGCCACCACCGCCATCACCGCCGCCACCGCCGCCAGTCTCATCATCGCTCTGCTATGAAAATATTCGCAATTAATTTATTACTATGAAATTTATATAAATAAAAATGTAAATGTTCGTTTTGTTCAGAATCCGTAATCTCCGAAAGTTCTTCACCGATTGCTTTGAAATGTTGATACACTGTTACATTCAAATACGCGAGTGCCGTAATATGCCTACTATATAGATGTCACGTCTGACAGCTACAAACATGCCTTTTTTGTGAGTTTGAGTTGAGAGTTTTCATGTAAGGGGAATCTCCGAAACTTCTTTACCGATTACTTTGAAAGCTTGACACAACGTTGCATTCTTATACGCGAGTGTTTTTATATACCTACTATATACATGCCATACCTGTGATAGGTAAAAACTTTTTTTTTAACAGCACCATCTGTTGAGCGTAAAAGCAACATACACTATACTAAATATTTTACGATTCCATTTCAATGTTTCTGATTGCATTGTTAAGTTGAATTTTCATAGATTTCCATTTATTTTCATTTTGATTTAATTATTTCGTGTGACATTGCGTTGGAATTGAGCTGTGTTGTTTCCCATACCGTTCATTTCATGAGCATAGTAATTTTTTTATTTTTTCATTGTTTTTCATTTCGTTTTTTAACTGCTCTTATTTTTCAGTGATGGGAACATCAGATCAGTTGATGTTCCCATTTTTCTGATGGGAACATCAGATCATTTGGGAATGCATCGGACGGGGGAGTGAAGAATTTTAGAGGGGTTGAGGGGGACAGGGGAGTGGGGGATGGTGGGGAGGACTAGGGACTACTGGGCTCAGGTTCATGAGCCCAATAGGATCAGGAACTTGTGCACCAGTTGATTGGCGTTGATTGACGGGACCAGCTCAACCCCCACAACCGCAATTAGGTGAGTACATTTAAGGGAGTTCACACACACACACACACCCATCACCCCCCCCCCCCATCTTCCAATCACCTCCACCGGCTTCGATCACTAACAAGCACCTCCTTATCATATCTCAGGGTCATATATTAAGCAGCTGATCTTGGGCCTCTGATAAGAACTTCTCTCCTAGATGACATGACAGATTCACGTCCTGACTCTCGCTGCTTTCTGTCTCTCAAATTGTTTTCTCTCTGACGCTCACACTGCTCAGGAGGAAAGTCTACTTGCCACAACCAGTAAGCTGTTGTAGTGGCCTTAACAACCCTCCCGCGGTTGTGATAGTCCTTAACCCCCAACAACTTACCTATAAGTAGGAGCAGCGTGCCGGCCGGTGCATCCACTCCCAGAGTGCTGGCCAGAGTGACCAGAACTCTCCTAGTGACACACACACCCACTCATACACGCATACAAACCCTGGCTTTATCTTCGCGATTACACCAGCTACATTGAATACAGATATGTGTAGCATCTGTGCCTTATCTTTGTGTTTGCCTTTGGTACGGCGCCATTGGTGTGTTGTTCCTTTGTTCAAAGATGAATGAGTATTCTGCACCTTAAGGATAATATATTGTCTACGGCTCAACATCGGGAACTTTAGAGGCAGTCAACGAGAAGCCGTACAATATAAGTCTTCTGCTTGCGGCCCAATATTATCATCTTATTTTCGTTCTGTTTCTAAATACTTCGCCGAGCTGTTATATGCAGTTTATACTTTTTTCCACATTTAGTTACTCATTAGTATTGATCAGGAGGCCCTCAAGGTCATCACATTTACACTTTTATCGTCACTGTTCATTTTCACCTAGCATGGTCATGATACATGAGTGGTTAAGGATGGGTAGATGGTCCCCACTGGTGGTCCGGGGCCCCAAGGTCATCACGCCGGTGTTCGTCATGGTCAGGGCCGGCCCTAGAGGCACTAGGGGGCCCCTACGCGTATACTTAGTTCGTTTATATGATTTACACTTAGCACATAATAAACAATGGGTCATGTAACGTAGTGGGTGTGTCAATAAAGTCTTAAGCACAAAATTAGATTTATCTCCCTTCTTCATTAATATACTGTATATATATTAATATATAATATTAATTTATATTTATATAATATATAATATTATATATAATATTATATATATTATTATACTGTATACTGTATATTATATATATTATTATACTGTATATAATATTAATTTTTATTCACTGCTCTACTCTATAATGCTTTTGATAGCAAGATGAATGACATAAAGCAGTGTGTGGTGTTTTGACCAATGAGACTCGTCGTTACAAAGCGTCTAGTCATTCACACTCTAACCCACTGATACAACAATAACAAACGCGGTGTTGCCATTTTGCAGGTTGGACAGCACCGAGGGTCAGAGGAAGACTGCCTCGACTGTGCAACTGTGCACATTATTGGTTCTCGGCTCGCTTGAATCCTCCCACTAAATTTTATTTTTACAAATATACATATAATAAAACCAGCTTTTATTCACAATGTATATTGTCGTATTTGTAAAGGTTTTACATTTGTGTATTGTAAGAAAATTGATATAAAATCGGATAAAAACTAATTTAGAAGAACAAGTAAAAACTCAAAATTGTGTTATAAAATTTTATTTTAATCTTTCCGCAAAGAATGCAGCGTCATAAATCCTCAACAATATCCCTTTTAATTACATAAGTTATTTTATATATAGTTTCCAGAGATTTGTTTTTAAGTAATCTGATCACTCTGTTTTTATACCAAACCAAAAAAAGGCCACAAAACAAATGACTAGATGCCAACTCGGCTCAGTATTGCCATATTTTGCGTAGCTGTCGCGACTTTTTGAAAACAAAAAAAAATTATACTTAAGAGTTCTCCGATTTCTTTCAAATAAGGATAAAAATGTTACTAGAAATCTAGGCTTTATTGCAATATTAAAAAAATTAAATCCTAGTGGGCGCGTTGAGAGTCCTACACAAGTTCGTGCATCTTAAACCCCTTCCTATAGTTCGTCTTGAGTTTTGCGTAGTTGGTCTTCCTGTTGGAGGGCGTCGTGGACCCTGTCACCAGACAGGATGACGTTGTCCTTCGTGGGGAGAGATGCAAAGAACTTCCTCACCTGCGAACACAAGCCGACGCTAGTCAATATTGATGAATTAAACCATGTGAGATGTGTTTAATATAACCTAATAACCAGAGTGTGTGTGTGTGTGTGCACTCGGCTGGATGTACGTGTGGGGGTTGAGCTTTAATTCTTTGCTCGCGCCTCTCAACTGTCAATTGACTGGTGAACAGGCTCCTGAGCCTATTGGGCTCTATCATATCTACATTTGAAATTGTCTATGGAATCTGCCACCACCACATCACTTCCTAATACATTCCATTTGTTTGTGTGTGTCTATGATGTTCATACAAGTACTCAAAGCGTTCATTACGTGTTGTTTGTGTTCACAATTAGGTTCAGGAATTGAGAGCTTGCCTCTTGTCGTTGGTCGGCCTCCATGGTGGGACGGAGGATGAGGGCGAGGTACTGGAGGTTGTCCTCGGTGGAGGGCTCCCAGGTGAACCCAAGAGAGTCGTCAGGAGTCGGGTTCCTGCAGGAGAGAACAGTGTTGTGGTAATTGGCTTTGGTTTGGTGTTGACTAAAAAGTTGTTATTCTCTGAGGAATTATTAACGTCATTGTATCCGGTGGTTTACTGACCAGCCAGCAGGTATACTGTGGCCCTCAGTATGGCCTAGGACTAAGGTAAACTTTGTGTATATACAGCGAGAAGCAGGGTTCACTTCTCGGTGTATATACCGCCAAATTGGGCAATACAGTTTTGTTCGTATTGTATATCAGTGCTGACCTTGCGTGTATAATATATGATATATACATTCATAAATATCGTGGGAACTGTATTCGACCCCTCCCACAAAAGCATCCGTCCCTCATCCTCCCCCTTCAATCATAACCTATTCCATCAGATACTGTCCCATCACCACCCAATTAAAACCTGTCCCATTACCGCAACTTTAGAACCTGCCCCCATTGCCACCCAATAAAAAATGCGCCATTACCACCCCTTTTAGAATCTGTCCCATTACCCTGTGGCAGCGAAGTTGGTCCAGAGGGTAGACATGATGTCCCTCATGCGAAAGTCAGCAGGAAGGTTGAACGACTGGCGGCGGTGAGGAGGACTGAACAGCGGTCCGCCTTGGAAGAGGTACAGCAGCTCATCTTCGTGGGAAACCCCTGCAGGAGGAGGAGGAGATGACTGTTGCATCATGGGGGTGCTAGAGATCTATTGCAAGGTGAGGAGGGGAGGAATGGAGATCTCTCACTATACTGGGGGATAGAAATATTCTCCTGGAAGGATCTCATTATATTTGCTGGTGACTTACAGTGCTTGCCGACGCGGGTCTTGAAGAAGTCGCCGGAGGAGAACTCGCCTCTGTAGCGGAACTCGTAGCGGAAGGTGTTATGGGCGGTGTTGAGGTTCCTGGCGTGGTAGTGAGAGGTCAGGTCATGCCCCACCATGAAGTGCACATCACTATACAGCTGCAACGATGTATAGTATGTATGTATGTATGTGTGAGGGTATGTAGAGACGTGGCAAGTACCACCATGATTACACTACACTCATACAATATACATTGAATTTATAATATATATATATATATATATATATATATATATATATATATATATATATATATAAATATATATATATATATATATATATATATATATATATATATATATATATATATATATATATATATATATATATATATATATATGGCTGGGACTACATAGTCTTCTACCCGGCTTGGTACCTTTTTTGGGTAATTACTTATTTACTCAGCTGGAACACTGCTTTTGGTATATATTATTTCTCTCATGTACAACACCCTCACCTTCTCCTATATCTACTTGTGACCTTCAGGAGCAAGTACCTTAGTGAGAGCTTCGCTGTGAGCCTCGTCGAAGTTGATTGTCTCTCCCAGGTAGTGATGATACAGTAGCTTGGTGACCTTGAGTATGTCCTCCTGGGCTACAGACCCCTCCAACTGAAGACTGATGGGGCCGATGGTGGTGAAGTTGACCTCCAAGGAATCCTTCAGGGTCTTCACAGCGTAAATGACTGACGGGAGAGGGAAACGAAGATTCATATTAGACTTCGTAAAGGAATAATTTAAGTTATCAGCTATAGTAAGATGCTATAAGATGGAAGGATATTACTTGAGCAAAACAAAATCAAAGTGATTGAAGAACCTGAACGAACTGGATTCATATCTAGAAGAGATAGATAGATAAATAAATAAAAAGAATAAAGAAGAATAAATAAAATCTCTTCGTTACACTTCAACTTATTCTTATCCTTGTGATGTACCTCTTGAAATAAGTAGTGTAAATTTGGACACTGTACTGTTGAGTGTACACAAAGAAAATAACTATAACACGGCCCACAAATATGAAATAAAAGTGACGACGTTTCGGTCTGTCACTGACTCTTATGTAATCGTAACTCATAAGGGATACAGAATGGATGGACCGAAACGTCGTCACTTCATATGTGTGAGTTGGGTTACTTATCTCCAGCTCATTATTGTGACTTATTCTCTACATAAACTCTCTTGAAAACTTACATCAAAGGATAATCAAATATTTTCCCCTGGCCCAAAAAAAGACTTCACTTATGAAGAAACAGCGAATACTATATTTACATTCACCAGAAAAGCTCAGCGGAAGAGTTCAATGGGAACATAAATTAGGTGCAAAAATTATCAACATAAATGTGTACCAAGAACGAGTAATTTCAGTAGAAAACGTTTAGATTTAGAAGCTAAATACAAAACCTCTATAATAAGCTGCCAATGTATAGAACAAGTTACGAAGGAACTTTAAGGCCAAAAATCTTTTAAAAGTTTCAAGAATTTGAAATATTACATTACTTGGACAAATGATAATACTTTCTAAGTAATTACTGTAAAATAGTCCTCTGTATTTTCATAATGTTATTATTATTGTTTAATCCTTTAGATTCTTAGATTCTTTGATTTATACGAACTTATGTTCCTTAGCGACTACAGCTTAAGAATGAGAAAGATGCTGACCTTGACTCATACAGGCCCCTTCTTCCCTTGTCACTCCAGCTATAAGGTCGACCTCTTTGTACCGCCCTTCAAGGATCATCTTAGCGGGGTCTTCTGGGATGAAGTCACCGTCAACCCGAGGAGCGAAAACCACAGGAAATATGGACCATTGCTGTGGGAGAGGGCACGATGTATTATTGTTATGGATTGGGGGAGAACTGCAATGCAAAATACAAAAGCAAATTAGTCAAAGCCAAACCACTTGGAATGGACTGTAGTTAAGGAGATCCAAATAACAACTCCAACTCACTAAATAATCTTGCATGGTGGCCACCAGCTTGCGTCCGTCGACCTTCTGGAGACAATGGAGGAGAGCCTGGCTGTCCAGGTTTCTGGGGCACCCCATAGTCTCTCCTATGTTCTTACTCACTTCCCCAATCTTTATCCCTGTGGCCCACGGTTCCAGAGCTGACCCGGACTGCATGATGGCCCGGGAAAACAGACCTGGTAGTGGGAGAATTCAAAGAGAGAGATTTATCTTGAAGCATGTGCTCAGGAGACCTCAGTCTGTCTCTGAAAAACAACCCAAATAAATAGGTCACAGGAGAAGTGAGGAGAAGTGAGATAAGTACTAAGAGAGAGGTCAGAGAAGTCTGGCCATAGGAAGAAGAGGTTATGAGTCTAAAATATTCAA